TGGTGACAGATTTCAAGATCTAAGCAGATTTCAGAACAGTAAAACAACGGTTTAAGTACCATTTTAGTCCCTCAACTTATCACTTTGGTACCAAAATTGTCCCTCAACTTTAAAAAGTACCAAAATCATCCTTGAACTTTCATTTTCGGTACTAAAATGGTCCTTCCGTCAGTTAAATGACAGGTGTCACGTTAAAATGCCAGCAAAATCACTACTTTTTTTTACTTTTAATGACGTGTAAATCCAGCAAACAAAATTTTGCTACCGTGGCATGTTTTTTCCACGTCAAATTGCTCCCCCTTTTCAGAGTCAAATTGCTCCCCCTTTTCAGATTCAATTTTTGTGGGGCCCACATGAAAAATTGTTTTCCTTTTCCAGTTTCAGTTGAGTTCCCGAAGGCCAAACGAAAACAAAGCAATCAAACAAAGAATAACTTCAAAATTGAAACAGAGCAACCAAACAAAGCAAGAAGCTAAAGAAACAGAGCAAAGAAAAACTAGCTTTACCATCCCAAACTTCAAAATTGATCAAACCAATCACCAAGAATATGAATTTCGTGCTCAGAGCTATGGAAATGAAGTGAAATTGTGAAATTACTCGAAGAAATGCTAGGGTTTGTTTCGCGAGGAACCCAGAACTGGGTTCTTCACGAAACCCAGAACTGGGTTCCTTGAGGAACCCAGAACTGGGTTCTTCACGGAACCCAGAACTGGGTTCTTCACGAAACCCAGATCTGGGTTCCTTGACGAAACGCAGATCTGGGTTCCTTGACGAAACCCAGAACTGGGTTCCTTGAGGACCCCAGAACTGGGTTCCTTGAGGACTCCAGAACTGGGTTCCTTGAGGACTCCAGAACTGGGTTCTTGACGAAACCCAGATCTGGGTTCCTTGACGAAACCCAGAACTGGGTTCCTCACGAAACCCAGAACTGGGTTCATCTCCATGGGGCAAGCCTAGCGCCTGGGCGCTCGACGCTGAAGAACATGAAGCCGAACTCCAACAGTTGAAGGACCAACCAAACCCCGACCTTACCACCAAGAAGCTCACAGGGGAATCTGGGTTTGAGAAAAACCCAGATCTGGGTTTGAGAGGAGAAGAAAAAGGCCGACGGCAGTAGTAACAGAAGGTTTGGCCTGGATTTGCAGAGGTATCG